GGGGGGGGGAAACATAACATTTGAGCTGTAACATCAAATGTGTGTTAGTGTTTCTCACAGTGAAGAGCAGAGTTGTTGGTTCGAGTCCCAATGAGCTCCTGACCTTCAGCATCAACACACCAACACTCCTGAGCCCGCACACTGCACTGCACAGGTCTACACACACACACACACACACACACACACACACACACACACACACACACACACACACACACACAAACTCTTATCAGTGGCACTTGTACACACAGCGGTGAGGCCTCCCGGTCTGTCTGGTCCCATACAGCTCCATGCCGTCCTGATCCACACACCAACATTGTCCCCCACTGGGGTCACACTGGACTGACTCAAAGAGTCCTGAGGAAGAGCACTGCAGGACGGCCTGAAGCTGGCAGGGAGACGGGCCTACAGACAGGAACAGGAGGACAGACGGACAGGTGGAGAGAAGGATGTTAACACCAGGCTGAAAAGAGCATTGGGGGGGGGAAACATAACATTTGAGCTGTAACATCAAATGTGTGTTAGTGTTTCTCACAGTGAAGAGCAGAGTTGTTGGTTCGAGTCCCAATGAGCTCCTGACCTTCAGCATCAACACACCAACACTCCTGAGCCCGCACACTGCACTGCACAGGTCTACACACACACACACACACACACACACACACACACACACTCAGTATGTCACATAACTATACACACTCTTAATAATGCCACACATGAAAAAACAAATAGCACACACTTCTTGTTTATGTGTATTTTAATGTCAGTGAACTTTTACTTGTCCCAGAAACAAAAAGAGCTTCACTGTCTGAACCACGGTGGGGGCTGGACCCCCCTGGAGAAGTCACATTAGTTTGATTCTTTAACATGGATACAGAAACGGATCAAGACAGACAAAGGTCGTCTACAGGTAAATACCTGAACCTGCCATCGTCTGTGCAGTGAGGGATGTCACCTTGTTGCTTGGCAACAGCCGCACCTCGTAGCAACTCACATTGGCTCAGGGGCTCTGACTCCAGCTGGTACTCTGGACAACAACAGGAAACGGTGACACATCAGTAAACAATGACAACAAAGTCTACAGAGTCTACTCAGGTTGGGTCTGTGTGGCTCTAGGTGAACCTCAGTTCTCTTAAATGCATCCACGTTTCCCTCACCTGGGTCTTCTCTTTGTGTTTTAGTCCCACGCACATAAGATGCAAGGAAAAGATGTGGGAAGACAGGAATCAAGGAAACATGTCTTAAAAGACAGGAGACGTGTCAGTTCATGAAAGACTTCCACCAAGGATGGTCTCTTGTATCCTCCAGCAGCCTCTTCAGTCCTCAGAGCAGGAATAGGTGCTTTGGGACGTCTTCAATCCGCAAGGATCAGGGGGTGAGAACAGCCAAACAACAGTTCTGGGCTTCATCTTCCGAGTGGATGAATTTTAGAAAGAGCAGCTGCCTACAAGATCTATACTGTTATGGTTCACAGATATGAAACAGGTTAGAACATCGCCTTCACTGCAGAACGTTTTAGGAACAAGGACTTTACTTTTATTGTATAAATTATCCTTGAGATATAAAATTATTATAGTTTCTCTGATGTTACACACATTTTTAGGACATTATCACACTGCTGCTCTTTTCCACAGCAGCTGTGTCAGTAATGGTCACCACACATTTCTGCCAGTGTTAAAGCTGGTGTCGAGTAAAATGACAGTGTCACCTGAAGGTCTCATGACAAACTGGTTAGACGACTGTCACTGTCATCTGTACACAAAGTAAAAATGGGTCGAGTGCTGCGTCCCGGGGAGCTCCTGTACTGCCTCCTGGCAGAAATGGGCTTTGTCTCAAAATGACCTCACTGCAAACTGCAACAGAAGCAGAGGAGTCTGATGGAAAGGAGGGTAAAGCAGCCTGCTGCACTCCCTGTTTCCTCACACTGGGTCCTAAACATCAACTACATTAGCTCAGCTCACAGAGCAGTCGATCAGGAGACGTGATGATGATCAGATGCCATGAAGAAGAGTTGTGACTGAGTCTTTTTTTTTACCACTAATTAAAGCAGAAAACCTCACCTTATTTTTTAAAACACTAATTAAAGCAGAAAACCTCACCTTTATGAAAACGTAGCTATTAGATGTTTGGTAATTAGTTAAAACTTGTCCATTTTTGTCAGTCAACTAACTGACTAACTGTTGCCGCCCTGCTTGGATCCTTTAAACTGTACACCTGTATGGTGTTGCCTAAAAATAATCATGATTTAGTTCAATATTAGAATAAACCTTCGTTAAACAAAGTTACTCTGCAGCAGCGTCATTACCAGCAGCTCTGTTTTGACAAAGACAGCAAACACACAGACAGGCAGGCTGGGGGGGGGGGGGGGC